GAAAGGGGAGGGGAGTAAGGGAGAAGGGAGTAGCATAAGGAATAAGGGAGAAGGGAGAAGGGAGTAGTATAAAGAGTAAGGGAGAAGGGAGAAGGAGTAAGGAGTAAGGGAGAAGGAGTAGCATAAGGAATAAGGGAGAAGGGAGTAAGGGAGAAGGGAGTAGCATAAGGAGTAAGGAATAAGGGAGAAGGGAGAAGGGAGTAAAGGATTAAGGGAGAATGGACTAGCATAAAGATGTAGGGAGAAGGATGTAGGAGAAGGGAGTAAGGGAGAAAAGAGGAGGGAGTAAGGGAGAAGGAGTAGCATAAAGAATAAGGGAGAAAGGAGTAAGGAGTAAGGAAGAAGGGAGAAGGGAATAAGGGAATAGAGTAAGGAGTAAGGGAGAAGGGAGTAGCATAAGGAATAAGGGAGAAGGGAGAAGGGAGTAAGGGAGAAGGGAGAAAGGGGAGGGGAGTAAGGGAGAAGGGAGTAGCATAAGGAATAAGGGAGAAGGGAGAAAGGGGAGGGGAGTAAGGGAGAAGGGAGTAGCATAAGGAATAAGGGAGAAGGGAGAAGGAAGTAAGGGAGAAGGGAGCAGCATAAGAAGTAAGGGAATAAGGGAGAAGGGAGAAAGGGAGTAAAGGATTAAGGGAGAATGGACTAGCATAAAGATGTAGGGAGAAGGATGTTGGATAAGGGAGTAAGGGAGAAAAGAGGAGGGAGTAAGGGAGGTGCATAAAGAATAAGGGAGAAAGGAGTAAGGAAGAAGGGAGAAGGGAATAAGGGAGTAGAGTAAGGAGTAAGGGATTAAGGGAGAAGGGAGTAGCATACGGATGTAGGGAGAAGGATGTAAGAAAGAAGGGAGAAGGTAGAAATGGGTAGGATAAGGAGTAAGGGAGAAGGAAAAGGGTGAAGAGAGTAAGGGAGAAGGATGTAGGAGAAGGGAGTAGCATAAGGAGTAAGGGAAAAGGGAAAGGGAGAAGGAAAAGGGAGAAGGGAGAAGGGAGTAAGTAGCATAAGGAATAAGGGAGAAGGGAGAAGGGAGTAAGTAGCATAAGGAATAAGGGAGAAGGGAGAAGGGAGTAAGGGAGAAGGGAGTAGAGAGTAGAGAGTAAGGGAAAAGGATGTAGGAGAAGGGAGTAAAGGAGAAAGATGTAGGGAGAAGGAGAAGGGAGAAGGGAAAAGGGAGAAGGGAATAACATAAGTAGTAAGGGTTAAGGGAAGGGAGAAGGATGTAGGGTAAGGGAGTAGAAAGGGAGAAGGGAGCAAATAGGATAAAGGAGAAGGGATAAGAGAAAAAGGGAGGTGAATAAAGGGATAAATATGGGATAAGGTGATAAAGGATAGGAGAGAAAAGGAGAGAGAGAGATAAAAGAGGGTCAGATAAGGTGAAGGAGATAAGAACTCCATGATAAGGGATACATGAAGAGGGGGGGGGGGAGGGGGTGAATGGGGGGGGGAGGAGGGGGAGGAGGGGGAGGGGGGATGGGTGTTACTGTGTGGGTATATGTGGGTACGCTATGTGGTGGGGGGGGGGCTATGTTGGCATGTATTGGGTATGTGGGAAAGATATGTGGTGGGAATTATGTGGGTTTGTGTGGGTTTTTTGTGTTTTTTTTGTGCATGGGTTAAGTTTATGTTAGTTTTGTGTTTGTCAGTCCTTTTGATTCTTCTTGTCTCTCTGTCTGTTTGTCTGTCTCTCTCTCTCTCTCTCTCTCTCTCTCTCTCTCTCTCTCTCTCTCTCTCTCTCTCTCTCTCTCTCTCTCTCTCTCTCTCTCTCTCTTGTTCTTGTTCTTCTATTTCTTTTTCTTCCTCCTTCTCCTCCTCCTTCACTTCCTCCTTCTCTTCTTCTTCCTCTCTCCTCCTCCTTCCTCCTCCTCCTCCTCCTCCTCCTCCTCCTCCTCCTCCTCCTCCTCTCCTCCTCCTCCTCCTCCTCCTCCTCCTCTTCTCCTCCTCCTCCTTCTCCTCCTCCTCCTCCTCCTCCTCCTTCTCCTTCTCCTTCTCCTTCTCCTCCTCCTCCTTCTCCTCCTCCTTCACTTCCTCCTCCTCCTCCTCCTCCTCCTCCTCCTCCTCCTCCTCCTCCTCCTCCTCCTCTTTTTTCTCCTCCTCCTTCTCCTCCTCCTCCTCCTCCTCCTCCTCCTCTTTTTTCTCATCCTCCTCCTCCTCCCTTCCTATTACATAACCCAATTTTCATAGTCATCGAACGTGTGTATCCTTAACCTAGAGAGATTATTTTTACACACAAAGACGAAAAAAAAAAGTAAAAAAAAAAAGAAAAAAAAAAAAAAAAAAAAGGTAACCTCAGAATAGGTTCATGAATATTCCTTTTCAGTGTGTGGCTCCAAAGAAAGATGAATGGGCCAAAGCGTTTTATTAAACTATATGAGTTTGTTCTATGGAAAGATTGGAGTGTAAAGATTTAACCCTTATTAGTGACGTCATTCGAGAGCACGTGGATGAACGGGAATGTCTGGGTGTGTGTAAGTGTGTGTGTGTGTGTGTGTATGTGTGTGTGTGTGTGTGTGTGTGTGTGTGTGTGTGTGTGTGTGTGTGTGTGTGTGTGTGTGTGTGTGTGTGTGTGTGTGTGTGTGTGTGTGTGTGTGTGTGTGTTTTTGTGTGTGTGTGTGTGTGTGTTTGTGTGTGTGTGTGTGCGCGAGTGTGTAAGTGTGCGTGTGCATGTGTGTGTGTGTGTGTGTCTGTGTCTGTGTGTCCATATGCATGTGTGTGTGTGTGTGTATTTATTTGTACTTGTAATTCAGTGTTTGTGTGTGTAAATGCTAATGCGTGGAGAAAAAAAGACCCACAGATATTTTTCTCAATGCTACTACTTTTTCATGGCTTGCTTGTTCCTATATGCATTGTATGTGTTCATACCCATTTTATGATTTTCTTTCCCCCTTTTTCTTTTCGTCTTTCTCGCCTTTGCTTTCTCTCCAGATTTCCTTTTGCTTTCTATTTTCCGCCTGTGACACGTATACTCGAATGGCATTTGGAATTTCCGTATCTCTCTCTCGCTTTCTTTCTAATTTCCTCCCTTTCTCTTTCTTTTTTTGCCTGCTGCAAGTATACTCAAAGGACATTTTAATGAGAGTTGGCTTGGCCTTCTTTTTTACATATAGAATTCCCTTTAGGTTCAGTTTAGTTGCAGTTGCTTCAAAGAAATTTCTGGTTGCAGTTGTTTCAAAGAAATTTCTGGTTGCAGTTGCTTCAAAGAAATTTCTAGTTGCAGTTGTTTCAAAGAAATTTCTGGTTGCAGTTGCTTCAAAGAAATTTCTAGTTGCAGTTGCTTCAAAGAAATTTCTGGTTGCAGTTGTTTCAAAGAAATTTCTGGTTGCAGTCGCTTCAAAGAAATTTCTTTACCCCCTTTGGTTTAATTAAGGTTTAATAATGCTCCAAGTTCCGTTGCATTGTCTGTCATTATTTGGCATAAATACCCATCACTCTGGCCTTACAGTAAAAATGCCCCCCTCGTTCTCCTGCACTATTTTGCTTTATTCTACTTTCCATTACTTTTGTGCTACTCCTTCAATGATATTGCATTTTAGCTATAGTTTATGCATGTTAAGTTTTTTTTATTTTTATGTCTGTTTTTCTTTTTGTTTCTTATTTTATTTTTTTCAAATAGTAGATTTAATGCTTTAGTAGTTATAAGTTTATGTTTATTGTATAGATAATAGTTGTTAGGTAGCTGTACTTTTAAGTGCATTTAAAAGAATATTGGAATTAATCTGGAAGTACTTTTGATTTTTGTAATACCTTTCATTGCTGATTACTGTTAAATTTTTGTTATAAAGTTTCATGTCAAAGTGCTTTAAGAATATTTGATTAGGAATGAAAAAGTAAATGTTCAGTATCATGATATTTCAGTAATTTAACTTGCTGATATTAATTAAGAATTATAATCCAATATTTCAAAGCATTTCATTAGCTTAGTATAAAGAAATACAGCCTAGACATACCATGACATCAACTGACACACTGCTCTGTACCCTATAGGTCAGTCTTGCAAACACCAGCATAGAACTGAGCAAGGAGAACCTATATCGGTTTGCGCGCATCCTCTTTCCTCCTCCTCCTGAGGTGCTGAACAAGATGTGTCAACAGGGATTCAATGATGCTCTCGATTTCTTGCAACGGAACAACCTCATCAATTGCACACGATGCCTGGCAGTTCAGTCTCGGTTCAATCTGACGGTGAGTGGTGGAGTGTGTGTGTGTGTGTGTGTGTGTGTGTGTGTGTGTGTGTGTGTGTGTGTGTGTGTGTGTGTGTGTGTGTGTGTGTGTGTGTGTGCATTTATTTATTTATTTATGTATTTATTAATGATAGCGTAGTTCACAGTATTATATGCTCAGCAAACAAAGAAGCAAAGATTAGAATAAAATCCTCAGTTATTTAAATATAGAATTGCTCTGATTTATATATGGGAATAAGGATACTTGGAATAGTATTTTTTCAGACTTTTGCCATGTTATGTTCTGTGCATTCACACATCTAAAAATAGCAGTTACATCTGTTTTATCTGTAAGGGATTTAAAATGCAGAACTCAAAGTTACAAAACACATCTAATGCTATGACAAGAGTAATACACGACCCGCAAAAAAAAAAAAAAAAAATGGAAATCACATTGGGTCTCAGTGAAAAACTTTGACGACCACATCCCAAAGGCATAGATTCTCTCGCCAAGTATCTCATCCCAATTACCTTTTCAGGAAACTCACGAGGACACGCACCTAAGCCTCCATGACATGGACTGCCTCGACTGCAGCAGACAGCGCAATGTAAGAATAGCTGTTTTTATTCCTTTGAGCTTCTCCAGCATATAGCCTTATAGTTTGTTTGTATTCTGTAGTATTTTCTAGTCCCTTTCTCCTGTTTAAGAAGAGTGGGATGATAAAAGTAGTCATTTGTGATAATGAAGAAATAGTAGTTCTTTCTCTCTCTCTCTCTCTCTCTCTCTCTCTCTCTCTCTCTCTCTCTCTCTCTCTCTCTCTCTCTCTCTCTCTCTCTCTCTCTCTCTCTCGCTCTCTTGTCTCTCTCTTTCTCTTGTCTCTCTCTCTCTCTCTTGTCTCTCCCCCTCTTCCTCTCTCCCCTCTTTCCCTGTCCTTCCTTCTCTCATCTCTCTGTCTCATCTCCAGGAGGCCATCCTCGACCAACTCCCGGAGGCTGTGGGCTGCATACTCCAGGACGCGATCAACAAGGCGAACCAAGGGCTGATGAACTGGGTCTTCAAACACAGGTCCATGAAGCTGCTCTCGGTCCTCACGCTGCCCTACATCCTGCCCATAGACATTGCGTACGCGGCGTTCCTCAAGTGAGTTCCGCAGTTTCGTTTTCGTTTCATGTTTCGTGTTTCTGTCCCGGGTTTTTCGGATTTTGCTCGTTGGTTTGTTGTATTTAGGAAAAAAAAGGGAAGTATTTGCGTTTGGTTTCTAGTGTGTGTGTGTGTGTGTGTGTGTGTGTGTGTGTGTGTGTGTGTGTGTGTGTGTGTGTGTGTGTGTGTGTGTGTGTGTCTGTGTGTGCTTGTGCGTGTGCGTGTGCGTGTGCGTGTGCGTGTGCGTGTGCGTGTGCGTGTGTGTGTGTGTGTGTGTGTGTATTATTTTTCTGTATTGCTATTTGAAATATCTGAGTAGCCTTGTTTCAGGGTTGCTTGGGTTAATTCTGTGCTATTGGTGGTTGATAATTTTTATGGCTTATGCTGTGGTATCAAATTTATAAAGTATGTGATATTTGAGGTGTTGAATAATATGTATATATATATATATTATGTTTATATATACATATGTGTATGTATATGTTTATGTATATATATATACATATCTATCTATGTATATATGATTATGTATGTATATGTATATATATGCATATATACATATGTATATGTATAAATATATGTATATGTATATGTATATATAGACATACATATACATATACATGTATACATATATATATTCACATATACATATGTATACACATGCATAGATATATATAGAGATTATATACACATGTATATATATATTGTATATACATGTAGATGTGTATATGTGTATGTGTATGTATATGTTTAAACATGAATATGCATACATATGTATATTGATATGTATGTATGTATATATATATATTTATATATTTATATATATATTTTTGAATGCATATATGTATATATGTATGTATATATATATATAATATATAATTTATATATTATTCTTGGTATAAGAAAAAGATGGTATAAAGGAGATAGACAGTGTCATCCTGAAGTTTTACTGAATATGACATAGTAATAGTCTTAAGTCTAGGCAGTTTTTTGTTCAGTACATTCATTAGTGCTTAGTAAGCATCATGTGTTTTTGCCTTCCCCAGTTCAGTCTGGGTAATGAGGTTGTATAAAGGCATAATGGACGAGTTTTTTTTCAGTGTGGTAGTTAAGGCGATCTCTTTGGTAGATGGGTTGGTTGAGTTTGCTAAAGGAATTAGAATAATGGAAGTTGTTCTCTCTTTTGTGTTTAGTATAGTAATATATATATATATTTTTTTTGTGGGTTCTTGGATATTGCAATGGTTGAGAATTAATGTCACATGTTGCTAGCTGTTGAGAAATGGGGTAGGCTGTCTTTGCAATTGCAGTGAAGATATAGGCAGTATGTAGATTATTTTTTAACTGTGGTGATTTAAGAATGTGTTTGTTGTTATATATATATATATTTTATACTGAATTATAAATCTCATATTGTATTTAGCACAGATATAGCCTGTTGGTATTTATTAAAGAGCTATAGGGTAATTCCATACCAAACCAACTAACCTATATGTCGTGAATAACCCTAATTTTGATAGAGCTTCTCACATACGTTTCCCATGGTAAGAAAAGAAATTTCAGTTTAATATCTGTAATGGGGGCCGAGAAATCAGTTTCTAAAGATTTTCCCTGTTTTGCCCAGACCGCAACCCCCCAAACAGTAAAACATTAATAATTTTTGTTCTGGTTGTTCCATTGGGTCCAGTGATAGCTCATTTTAAAGCACTTTTCAAGCTCTGTTCAAATAGGATAGGTTCTCCAGCATATCCTACATGACAAAAATACCAATCTTGAAAAACCATCATTTTCATTGGCCCCCTGTGAATTAGTACCTCTCCCCCTGAGGTAAATTTTATATCAAAAGCATCCTTAATGTATAGATAACCATGACACAAATCTAGAGAGTGGGCCCTCTATGGATGACTGAGTTATGGGCTTTGGAAAAACAGTAACTCCACAAAATGTCAACAATAAAGGAAAATATCAGAAATTTCTCCAATGTCTCTCATAAAATGTGAACTGGACAAAGATTCTTTCAGAAATCTTTACAGTTTTCTTACTGCTTGTCCTGTTGTGATTTTAAAGTCATTTTCAAAGTCGCTCAATTTATGGTTTTCATTGGCTTTTGGCTTCTAAGTTCATGTATCATTGTTTAACACTTGCCTTATTTGTTTCAATGACCAAAGGCCCTGGTTAAACTGATTTCTCGCCCCTCATTACAGATATTAAACTGAAATTTGGTGCATAGTCTTTTCTTACCATGGGAAACAAGTTCATGAAATGTGGACAGATTCACACATTGAAAGGGGAAATTTTTGTTTTCAATTTGTTGGTTTCATATGGAATTACCCTGTAGCTGTTTAGAAGGATAAGTATTTTTATTTTTTTAATCTATTCTTACACTCACTCACTCCCTCTCTCTCTCACTGACCACACACCAGGTTCATGAGTTCGACCCCCAGTGCCAGCGACCTCAAGACCCTAGGCAAGCAGATCGTTGACCTTGTGCAAGCCCTCATGCAGTCCACCACCAAGTCGAGCCTATACCACCACCACCACCACCACGACAGCAAGTTCTCCTGCCAGCTGGCTATTACCGAGTTCTCAGGTTGGTGTCTGTGTGCGATTTATTATTGAGAATATTTGTTTGAGTTTTTCTTTTTGTATAGGGGGCTTGGGGGTTTATTCTACAGGGGGGGGAGGGGAGGAATTTATTCTTTGTTGGATTTGCTTGGAGAATTTATATTTTTTAATGTATGTTATAGGATGTCTTTCTTTGTGGGGAGAGAGCATAAGAGTGAAGTTAGGAAAAAAAATGTAGTGGTGACTATAATGGTACTACTATGTATTCTTTAGTATTTATAGGAATGATAATAGCAATAGCAACGATGTTTAGATAATCATAAGTGACAGAAATGATGATAGAGCTTGTCCCCATAAAACAGTATATCCATAATACGGGAGTTCATGACACGTCCTCTATTTCTGCAGGCGACACAGAGCTCCACAATCGTCATAACTTCGACTTTACGCTGGATCTTGATGACTTGTAAGTGATCTTGTTTATTATTAGAGAATTATTAGTAATTTAGTTTGTGTTAAAAATATAATCTTACTTTACTGTTCCTGAAATAGGGTAATATATGTTGAAAAAGAAAAACCTTAATTTCATGGAATGAGTATATAATGGATGACAAGAAAAATCTTATAGAAAATGACTATCCCCAGAACAGAAGCATGCATATAATACTCATATGAAAAGAATAACAAGAATTTCAAAATTATAAGAAAATCCTGAATTCCTAAAAAAGAAGAAAAAAAAAACAGTTGAAAGGAGAAAAAGATCCTCTTTAACCCTTTCTCTCCCTCTCCTCTCCCCCCTCACCCCCTCCACCCCATAGGGAAGGCGTTCCAGAGAGCCACAAGGACGCGATGGCTCTGGAGTCGGAGGCCCTGTCGCAGGTGGCCCTCCGCTGCGCCGTGCGGTCCATGTCGCGTCCTGGCTCCCGCATGGCCTCTCGTGCCGCGTCCAGGGCTGTGTCGAGGGCCGTGTCGCGCCGTCCGTCCGTCAACGACCTCACAAACCCAGAAGAGCTGGAGACTGCTCTACCCGTCACAACCACTGTCATGAGCGACGATGCCTTCGAGCAGATTCTCGACGTTACGACGCACCAGGAGGCTCTCATGGCCTACTATTACCTTGACGATAATAATGAGGTGTGTGTCATTAGATTTGTTTTTTCTTCGTTGTCTAATTCTCAGCCTATATTTTTTTTTATAACAATGTCAGTATTTGTAGAAATAGAAAGAAAAAAAGGGACTTTTTCCTGCCAATTCAAGGAATGGGAAATCAATGTCAGTATCAATAGAATTAGAAAGAAAAAGAGACATTTTCCTGCCAATTCAAGGAATGGGGAAATCAGGCACAGTCACTAGGGCTACTGATAGACTCCTTGCCGGCTGAGTACATGTGAAGCCATCTGTAGGTAACAAAATTCATGAAAATCTACAGGGGACGGTACAGCCTTTGGGTTAATCTTCATGGTATGGACACACTTAAGTTTGGGCAAATGGAAGGAAGACAAAATTTAGAAGACGGAAAGTTGCAATCTTCGGTACTAGAAATTATTTTGTGATTATCATTTTTGCAGCTGCTGTTATTATTATAATGATAATAATGATCCTACTAATAGTAATGATAATAATGATAATGATAATGATAATGATAAAAACAATAATTATAGTAATAATAATGATAATTATGATAATGATAATGATAATGATAGTAATGATAATGATAATAATGATAATGATAATGATAATGATAATGATAATGATAATAATAATAATTATTATTATTATTATTATTATTATTATTATTATTATTATCATAATGATCCTACTAATAGTTATGATAATGATAATGATGATAATGATAATGATAATAATAATAATGATAATAATGATGATATTGATAATTATGATAATAATGATGATTATTATGATAATGGTAATGATACTAACAACAATAATGATAATAGCAATGATGATATTGATGACAATAATAATAGTGATAATAGTAAGATAAACAGTAATAATGATAATAATAGTGATAATAGTGACAATAGTGATGATAATAATGATAATAATAATAATAGTATTTATAATAATTGATATTTATAATAATAATAATAATAGTAATAATAATAATAATAACAATAATAATAATAATAATAATAATAATAATAATAATAATAATAATAATAATAATATTTATAATAATGATATTTATAATAATACTTATACGACTGCTACTACTACTACTACTACTACTACTACTACTACTACTACAACTACTACTACTAATGGTGACGAAGATGACGATGATGATGATAATGATGATGACCACCCCTTCCCTAAAAAAAAAAAAAAATAGTCTGAGCCTCCCTTTAATGTTTCTTTCCTCGTCCTCCCCAACAGGTTCGCGTCACGGAGATCTTTGACATGACGGAGACTGACGGCGGCAACGGAGGGGGACCCCACGACGACAGCTATGGGGGTATAGAAATCGACTCCGAGACGTGGCACTCCGAGGGGCACTGGTCGCAGAGGAGTCGGACGGATTCGATGGGTAAGCTTGGAAAGTGGCGTCTGGGGCGTTATTTCTTTAACTGTTTGTGCATGATTCGCTTTGTTATCATTTTTAAGAGGGCCTTGCAAGGTTGCTTATTGAAGATTTAACCCAATTGAGAGAGAGAGAAAGAAAGAAAGGAAAGAAAGAAAGAAAGAAAGAAAGAAAGAAAGAAAGAAAGAAAGAAAGAAAGAAAGAAAGAAAGAAAGAAAGAAAGAAAGAAAGAAAGAAAGAAGAAAGAAAAGAAAATGAGTAACTAAAGAAAGTGAGTGAGAGAGAGAGAGAGAGAAAGAGAGAGAGAGAGAGAGAGAGAGAGAGAGAGAGAGAGAGAGAGAGAGAGAGAGAGAGAAAGTGAGAAACTAAAGAGAGAGAGAGAGAGAGAGAGAGAGAGAGAGAGAGAGAGAGAGAGAGAGGGGAGAGAGGGGAGAGAGGGGGTGGGGAGGGAGGGAGGGAGGGAGGGAGGGAGGGAGGGAGGGAGGCAGGCAGGCAGGCAGGCAGGCAGGGAGAGAGAGAGAGAGAGAGAGAGAGAGAGAGAGAGAGAGAGAGAGAGAGAGAGAGAGAGAGAGAGAGAGAGAGAGAGAGAGAGGAAGTGAGTAACTAAAGAGAGAAAAGGAGGAGAAATAGAGAAAGTGAGAGATAGCAAGAAGAAAGTGAGAGCTAGAGAGAGAAAGAAGGAAAGAGACCGAGAGAGCGAGAGAGGGAAAGAGTGAAAGAGTGAAAGAGTGAAACATTATATTAGACAGATTTTCTGATTATCAAAACATGATTTTTAATTGGATTTTCTTCTGATTAAACTTCTTGAAGAAAAGCAGAAAGTCGTATTACTTACATTTTTTTTTTTGTGTTTAGGAAACTTACTTTCTTGACTAAACCGTAAGATATATAAATAATCATTGTTCATATGCTTTTAAGATGCCTATAATGTGCTGCTAGGTTTTGCTCAATTTCTTCTATATAAAACTTATATTACCCTATTTTAAGTTTTATTTGATTTTCTCTTGGATTTAATATATTCTACTAGCATATCCTGTTCCTACTTAAAATAATAATCAGCAATTTTTAACTAGAGTTTTGTCATTAAGCAAGCTTAACAGGAGTTGCATCTCACCCATGCTTTCAACTCAATAAAATGCTGTACGGGCGGAAAGTGGCTTCCTCCGACTAATCCAATTGTCCTTCTCTTTCTCCTTCCTCCGTGTTTTCCTGCGTGGTCCTTCCTCCTCCTCCTCCACGTCCTCCATTCTCCTTTCCCCCGCGCGGTGCAGGTTCCGAGGGCTATCACGAGGGAGGTCTGAGCATGTCAATCCCTTCAGACACGGAATCGGAACACGGGCACAGGTGAGTTGGGGAGTTGTTGCTTTTTCCTTTGAGGTTTGGTAGATCTTCTGGGATGTTTTAATAGAGGAATTTTTTTTTTTTTTTTTTTTTTTTTTTTTTTTTTTTTTTTTTTTTTTTTTTTTTTTTTTGTGGTGCAGCATGTTAAGAGCGGTGATTTTAAACATGAGTAACCCGGAAATGGGAATTATCTGTTGCTTTTCGTTATATTTTACTAATTGTAAATATCTTGTGGAAAATGTGATAAGTTCCCAAATGAAGCAGTTGATCAATCTAATACTCTTTCTCCTCTATAGGGTCATGAGACAGCCTGAGTCTGAGCAGATCTACTCCTCGTCCCCTAAACGCCGACCGTCATATGCCATCATTGAATGAGAACGTGGCATAAAATCAGAGTCGTCCTCGCCTGGGTAATTTCACGCCCAAGCTCTCTTTAACTGGCCACTCAGCTGTCCAGTTAGTAGGTGGTTCTCACATCTGGCCATTCAATCTTTCGTCTGTTTTGTCATTCATTCGTTCAGTTGTCTGGTTGATTGGTCCCTCTCGTGCTGCGGCATTCTCTCGTTTAGTGGTTCTCTCATTCGTTCATCCAGTCATCTGGTTGTTTGGTCGTTCAGTCGTTTTGTGAGATCCCTCTTCATCTTCCTGAAACTCCTATGACTGCCAAATGTGTGTTTGCTGTGTGTATATGTACATAAGTCTTACCATGAGATTTTTTATCCATTAGAATTGACCTTTTAGGAAGGTTGAGGCTAATTTT